TGATGTTGATTAATTAGACACCAATAATGAAATTAATATTAACCTTTTAAACATACATCGTAATTCTTTTTGTTGCAAACAATATTATTAGAAAGAACATATTGTAATCATAAAACTTAACAAAATCATCATGATCATGTGCAACTAAAAATACCATGATAAAAAAAGACTAACATGAATGAAAAAAAAATTTGAGATGAATAAATGAAATGGTCATGGTCATGGTTTTTTTAATTTCAATCCTATTTATATATAGAGAGAGTAAAAGGAAACTATAGTAAAGCGGATTAAACTTTTGCACCCAATATATACACGAAGACGAAACCGAACTTAAGAGTAAATGCATACACAAGATTTATGAATCTAATCGATCAATAACATGTTCACGAGGCCAAGCGCTACCGTTGCATGCATTCCTTCTTTTCCCTATGCTATTCATTCTGAGTCATTACAATAACAAACGTACATTTTTATCCATTAGCAATCAAAAACATAACAAATCACTAAAATATCTCGAGATTCGCCCTCGCAAATCCCCCAGAATTGGTCTCTTTGTCTCGTAAAACCTGTTGTTGCACTACCAAAACTGAAGCCGTGCTCCCTAAATCAACAGAGGCAACATAATCACCAATCACTCCACGCTCCAAATTTTCACTCCAACTCGACAAACCTTCGATCAAAATCGGATTAACCCCCAGTTTTCTCCCCACAATCCAAAGATCATAATCCTCACTATTCATCGCTCGAATAGCTGCTACAGTCTCTTCACCATTTCTCACCACCACCTCCCGATAAGCCACTTGCTCATTCCCCTCATATTTCACCCAAAATGCAGTCACCAGCCCATCATCAAGCTTCTTTTCCATTTCATTATCTCCTTCACCATTATGCGCAAGAAACCGTATCACAGTAAGTGAAACATTCGGATTCCCAGCCATCCTATCAGCACATGCCAATGCTTCCCTTGCGTCTGCTCCACCTAGAAAAAGCATTGCAAAATGGTATTCTAGTGTCACAGACATGCGTAGGTTAGCCGGTGGCCTGAAATCTCCCTTATCGACTAACATGGCCACCGAGCATGGTGCATGGTCCAACACAGTGTAGTTCAAAGATTTCACACTGTTTTGAATCATATCTGTCCCCGCTAAGCCTCTCATTGGGGACATACTATACGGTAATATTATCAAAGATGCTTTCCTGTTCAAGGCAAGCTCACAAACATCTTGGTACATGCTTCTTTTTGGTGCCACTGAGGTAAACGAGTGAACCTTAATAACATCACCCCTGGTTTCATGGACAGTTTGGAAGGATTTATGTACAGTCCCGCTGTAATCCTTTTGGCTCTTTTTATCATTTTCTTTGGGTTCTCCTGTATGATCGATGAACATGGGAGCAGCCCGGCCCACAAGCTCGACAAGATGAAGAGCGTATACTAAGAAAGGATTGTGTACTGTTGGGTTAGAAACTTCTAGAAGGTGGATCATTCCTGGAACACTTTCTTCATCAAGGAAGCACACTAGAACGGTGAGTTCGGTGTTAGGTGGAGTATGTTGGATGTTTCGTCGTTTATTGATCATGTATGGCCTATTTGGATTGTAGACTATGTTGATTAAGGGCGTTGCTATTCCCGTCATCACCGTTGTCAAAAGTACAAACATAGTAAACTGTGGAATCCCGATCATCTGGATACATAATCACAGATTGCAAAAAATATCAGCTTTTTAAATGAGAACATCAGGTAAACTACATACGAAATTACTAATTATCTTGACAAAAATTAGTTGAAAAAAGATTGTAACATGGCTTTAGAGAAAGGGAAAGAGACAAACCTGAAAGTCCAACCAGTGTATAAACAGCAAAAGCTCGACTTGACCTCTCAAGCTCATTATCAAACTCAAGGTCACCCCATCTCTCATGGACATATCAAAGAATCGAGTAACCAGTAAAGTTGACACAAATTTCGTTAAATATCCAGTCAACGCTACAAAAAACAAAGGCTGCAATTTCGACCAATCATCCCTCATGGCAAACACATCTGTCATCAAACCGATGTTTAAATATGCAAATGGCATCAATATTTCTAGAACAAATGATTCACACTTATGGGTCAAGGTAGATCCTAACGGTGGGCCATCAGGGATCGCCAGACCCAAATACCATGGACCATTAACTATGGCTAGCCCAAGCATATCAGTCAAGAACGCCACCGCTAGAACTCCTGCTAAGATCGAAATTACGTAAACTTGCTCAACTGGTTTCCCTTCTGGTGTTATCTTAATGATCCAAAACATCAACAACCGAACCCCACCAAAGATAATTATAGAAAAGAATACCCCAGACATGGCGTATCCCAATGGCGCCAAGGGCCGACCTTCCGCTTGTTTTAGTAATCTCAAATGCGACGAGCCCATTAATTCCTACCACGTCACCAATAACAGCCGTAGCTAATGCCATTCGACCTATATCAGAGCTCAAAAGGTTGAGTTCTCTCATGATGGGATGGAGAACAGGGAAAGCTGTTATAGCTAGGGATGCACTTATTCCCCAAATCGAAGAAACTTTCATCATTTCAGGGCCTAAAGAATTTCTGACACATACAGCAACCAATGCTGTTGCTGCCGTAGGTACAACCATACCAACCATGCCGATATACCATTGTTTTTTTGTTGCTTTTTTTATCATGAGGAGATCCATCTTCACCCCAGACAAGAACATGAAATACATGAAAGCAAATGTACCAATATTCCTATATATGTACGCCGATTGGCCTGGGAAGATCCAGTTCGCAAACTTCTTGTAACGGCTTAAGCAAGATGGTCCAACAATCATGCCACCCTATAACAGCAAATATATATAAATTCAACATTAAGGGAAATTTGTCAAAACTTCATTTAACCAAGAAAAAAAGGAATGAACGTACAAGGATCTCGGATATAACTCGTGGTTGTTTGAGAGGTTTGAGAAGGTGACGGATAATATGTGTAAGTACAAGGACCAACGATAGCTCCAATAACACAAGCGAAAACGACAGCTCCTGCGGATTTTCTCCGTAGATGAATATCCCGAAAGGGTGCTTTTCATGTATGCGAGAGCAGTATATAGCTTCCTTTGGTATAGTTTTGAACGGGCCTAAAAGACCGTATTCTTTCTCTTTCGACATATTTAAATTCGAAGCTTCACATTCATGACAGGAGTATTAGCTGAAAGCCCTAATTTTGAACGAAATTGTTTTGTACGAAAGCCCTAGCCATGCAAAGGTGGCGGGAGAGAGAGAGAGAGAGAGAGAGAGAGAGAACGTTCGATTGAAGGACCATTAAAATCGCCAAAACCTATTTAGTGTTTATGGACCGTTATAAATATGGAAAGTTATATATAGTTTGACTTTTGTTGAAAAAAATCAACCATAAGTAATTTCCATCTCTCTTTTATATATATATATATATATATATATATATATATATATATATATATATATAATATATATATAATATATATATAATATATATATATATATATATATATATATACTAGTAGTGAACCCGCGTGTTACGGCGGTGGCGATTTTTTCATTCCGGTGATTAGTTTCCATCCTAAAATTTGTTTCGTTTCGGTTATCGTCAAATCGTTTCTTTTTCGGTGTATAATTTCCTTTCGATAGGCGACGTTATTTGGGTTAAAAATAAAAGTAGAATTTCATTTTATTTTACAAAATGAAGACACCCATTATTGTTAATGATTATTGTTGTAAGAACAAATATATAAAAAAATAATAATCTCACTCATCAACCTTTATCATTATTTATGCAAAAATAGATGATATTGTTATATAGTTCTATCTTACTTATAAAAGATCATCAAGATTATAATATGTATATGGAAATTTATCATTTCTTAATATATTTCTACCTTACCTGTAAAAGATTATTAGTTTTTATGTACTAATAGACACATTTTCTATACTTATATCGTTATCACGAATATTACTTGTAATCATAAGTAAAACATATAAAAGTTAAAGTTTGTAATACCCATAGATTATTTTTTTATCGTAAAACTTATTATTTAAATTTGATTGGAGTTATAAGAAAAGATGTTTTGTAAGTTAACTAAATACAAGAGTATGTTAATTAAGTAATTGAGTACATGCTTGACAAGACAAATAATGAGTACATATATCGCACTACAAGGAACGATGTCTATACCGACGACTTTTTATATCCCTGTATCGACAACATGTCGTCGGCACAGGCTATACCGACGACTTGTCGTCCGTACAAAGTCGTCGGAATAGCTCCGTCGGTAAAAGTCAAAAAAGTCGTCGGGATAGGTGTCGTCTGTACAGATTCAGCAAATGCAGACGACTTGTAGTCTAGAAAAGTGTCATCGGGGCTGATTTTCGAGGGAAAAAAAGTTTTAATATAGATCTATACCGACGACTAATTGTCAGCAAAAATGATACATTTACCGACGACACGTCGTCTATAAAGGTTCACTTATACCGACGATAAGTCGTCTGGAAAGGGTCCTAACGGTTTGAATGGCTAATACCTGTACCGACGACATGTCGTCGGTATAGGTGTTTTTTTTCACATATTTTTTATATTTACCAAACCTATTTTTTAGACATGGAATCATTTGAGCTGCTCTCTGCATCTACTGTTGTTTGGTTCTCCTTGGATCTTGACTTTTTTAACTTGTCTGAACAAGTAAAGAGACATATATTACAAAAAGACCAAAATACCACCGTTTCCATATACACTCAAGAAACATGGAGGATTCGTGTTATACCTTCAACTGCACCCAAATTGTTGATTTTAGAGGATATGGCATCAGGCATGGATGCATCAGGATCTTTGCTTCTGCGAATTTCCAAATATGCACTTCTTTGTGATACCCCTTTTTGCCCTTGGTTCAAATTCTGTCTTGGGGTTCTTTTTCCTCTTACCATAGATGATGGTGATCTACCATTACAACAAACTTCGATAAATAAATTTTATAAAGAGAAAAATTAATGAAAATGTAATATATCATTATATCCTACTCACATGTCAGTTGATTCCTTAGTTTGCTTGAAGCTACCCGATAACTTAAGTTTCTTAGATGCTCTGGAAAAAAAAGAAGTGAAAAGATTAAGACTTAAGAGCATGTGAAATCCTTGAATGTATGTTATAAACTACAAATAAAATTAGTATTTGTTTTATTACAAGTTGAAATATCATGAGTATAGTGACTTACCCTTCTTTAGGGTGTGGACTATATGTCATGAGCTTCCTCTGTAAAGGGGGTGGAGTGAAACATCATCAGAAATCAATTGTAGTGTATGGTAGAATGGAATCAGGGAAGGAATGGAATGGAATGGTTCATTCCATTCCATCCAACCAAACAAAACCTAAGCATAAACACAAGGAATCATACCTTTGCAAGTTTGTGCCCACTCTTTACAAGTTTCCACCTTTCCTTATCCAAACATAGCACTTCAATATCTCTATCATCATATAATACATCAACATGATACGATTGTTAGATATGAACATCAAACCATATCAATAACCCGAGAGTATGCCTGAATCCCTCAAACCAAGGCTCTGATACCAACTTGTAACGTCCCAAAACCAAAGGGGAAATCATAATGTATTCATAATCATCCAAAACACATCAGAGTCAAATAAGTGAAAAATCATGGTGTGTGTGATGTGATCATCCCAAGTTCTTACCCTTCGATCTGGAAGTACCTGAAAAATTAACTGAAAACCGTAAGCACGAAGCTTAGTGAGTTCCCAAAAATACCGCATACCATACATATATGCCAGCTCAAGGCTGTGTCGTGTCTATTTCACCCCCAAGTCCATTTCAAATCATATGCCAGCTCAAGGTTGTGTTGGGTCTATTTCACCCTTGAGTCTATTTCAACCCCCGACTCTATTTCAACTCATATGTCAGCAAAAGGTTGTACAGGATCTATTTCACACCCGGTTCTATTTCACCCAACATACATATAGCAAACTGGCACACAGGTATACAATACATACAACAGTACTGACAAAGACTACAAGCACATACTGTTGGATTAGATGTCTAAGTTCATAACTATTTCTGGAATGTACTTGACCCGATAAGCATGGTCCATTTGGGTTGCATGGTATCATGCACTTGGATAGACTAAATGAGAGAAATAACACTTAAGGTTTTTTAATATATTATAAGTTCTAATATATTAATAATATTATTTATTTAGTATTAATCAAGAATTAATTTAGAATTAATTAAGTGATCAGAAAGAGACTAATTAAATATATGAGGTTCATTGTGTAAATCATCTATTCTTGTATGGTGAGCTAATGATCCATGGTTTGTATGGATTGGGTTAAAACCCATAAGGTGCTCCATGGATAATCCATGGAGGTTACAAACCCATGGATCATGGAATATGAAAAGCCATGACAATTAGGGTTTACATGGTGTAACCCTACTTGTGCCACAACTATATAAGAAGCTCCAAGTAGACCAAAATCAGCCACTCAGTGAGAACAAGAGGGCATAGCCGATTTTAGAAGTGTTCTATTTCTCTCAAGGTTATTCCAAGTGTATTTGGTGTTGTGTGAGACATTTGAGGCATCACACTTGAGGTGCTAGGCTCACAAGGTTCTCAAGGAATCCAAGCAACAAAGAAAGGTATGTATTTCTTACTAGCTTAATGATTCAAGTATCAATGCTATGTTAGATAGTTGAAGAACCTTGGAAAATCAAATTTGCATGTATCTTAGTCAAACATAGATCCAAGGTTACTAGGGTTGCATGTACACCTTAGGAGTGTTAGAATGCTCAAAACCCTTCAGTGGTATTAGAGCCTAGGCTTGTTTACTTGATACATGATGCAAACTTATTTTTCAAAAGCCAAAAACTGCCCAGACAAGAAAACTCGACGAGTTCTGGACAAAAACTCGCCGAGTTTATTTGTTATTGCATGAACTCGACGAGTTCCTTGATGAACTCGACGAGTTTGTCATCCAGTGAGTAGTTTTTGGAGCTTTGCTGCTGGAAATGGACTAGAAACATTACCCCAAACTGTTTTGGTGTTATAAAACTTGTTTTAGATGGAGTAATGGTTATGCTAATCCATTTTCAATGGTTATTATCAAAATTTCAAGTTTTATATGGTTTATTTATGATTCTTGAAATTGTTGATATGCATGTTCATGAACTTATGAGTTTAGAAGATCATAGGAATTATTTGTAACTTGCTTGTTAGTTTAATTCTTGATCATTATGTGTTTTAATGGAATCCATAATTTGTCCTCAAGTTATGGATTACCAAAAGTCATTCTTTTAAAGTCCATTAAAGAAACACATAGGTTACATAAAATGAAAAGTCTCTCATTTTACTAAACCATTTAACTCATAAGTTATGAAAGATGAAAAGTTTTGAAAGTTACAAAACTTGCCATCAAGTTTTGGAACATGTAAAGTCACTTTAAAAACTTTAGTTCCAACCCCTAGAATTTTAAAAGTTAAAATTCAACACTTATACTTTATAATATTATAAGTTATATATATATATATATATATATATATATATATATATATATATATATATATATATATATATATATATAAGAACAAAAGTCGTTTTACCGTTAGTAGGCCTCATTCACGAAGCCGGTCTATAAGGGGGGTATAAGGTTGTTGCCTATAAAATGGCAGCTTAATGGGTGTCCACTCTCACCCACCGCTTCCTTGACTGGTGGAGGGTCGTTAGCCGAACGGGTAGGACAATGACTTTAAATCCTCATTAAAAGTATAATGATACTAAAGTAACTAAATGTTTTTATAAATTCCCAATCTTAGTTACTTTAGGAAAATGTGAATAAGGTGCTAACCCATGAAATTACACTTTGCACTTTGTTTAAGTCGTTAGTGGAGCGTGTGTGGTTAACCGGCACACTAACTTGGACTTAACAAGGTAGGCAAAGGGTAGCTTAGTGTTTATCATAGTATCGATGGAGCGTGTGTGGTTAACCAGCACATCGATTGAGGGTTAAATATTAAGGGTACCAAGTAATTTGCATGGTTACTTCACACCTTGTTTTGTGATCCTCGGCATCCCATTCACAAAACTTGAAGGGCACACTCGAGATTGAAACATGCTATTGAAAAGTTCAATGAATCTCAAAGAATCTAGGAGTTTCAAAACCAATTAAAACCTAATAATTTATTTCGTTTTTCATGGTAGAAATTGGTGAATCGTCATTCACATACCTTCAAATATTTTATAGCTTGGATTACGGCATCCCTCTTCTAAGTTATAAAATATTGTGTTGGGTCCTAGCCTTAATATTACATTTGGGTGTTTTATTAAGGACTATCTTTATATCAAATCTGAACTTGTCTTTCTTCTTTTTCAGATGTCTTCAAACAATGCTGCTTCTGGCTCAAACCCTACCGGCTCCTTCTCTCTCATGAACCTTTGTGGGAGAGTCATCTTTGATGGTTCCAGCTTTATGGATTGGATCCGGAACATTAGGATGGTTACTTGTTATGAGGACAAGGAATATGTCCTCGACAAGGAGCTGAAGGAACTTGATGAGTCGTCTGCTACTCTTGAGGAGATCGCTGAATTCCGGACTCATGAGAGAAATGCCACTAAAGTGGCGTGTATCATGTTGGCCACGATGACAGCCGAGCTCCAAAAGTCCTATGAGGACTATTACCCTTTTGAGATGCACCAGGACTTGATGGACCGCTACCATCAAAGTGCTCGCCAAGAGAGGTATGACATCATCTGCTCCATGATAACAACTCGCATGAAGGATGGTGAACCCATCACCGGCCACTTGTAGAAAATGCAAAGGTATGTGGACCGGTTGTTGAAGCTAAATGTGAACTTCCCGGAGGAGTTGGCAATTGACATCATTTTGCACTCCTTACCTTCTTGTTTTGATCAATTTCGAATGACATACCACATGAACAAGGAGGAAGTTACACTCAGCAAACTTCAAGGACTCTTGAAGACCGCTGAAAGTGGTCTTAAGGGTAAGTCAGTTGTTACCACTCCTACTGCTACCGCGACCCCGGTCTTGGCAATCGGGCAAGGCAAAGGGAAGAAGAGGAAGAGCCCTTCGAAGGGTACCAAGGGAAAGTCCATTGATGGCTCCTCTTCAAATGGAACCAAGAAAGGTTCCGTCACTACTTCTGCTAACCCTAAAGAGGCTGAATGCTTCTATTGCCACGAAAAGTCACACTGGAAGCGAAACTGCCCAAAGTATCTGCAAGATGTGAAGGATGGGAAAGTGAAACCCAACCATGCAGGTATTTACACTATATTGTCTAATAACTCACCCCATTCTAATTCTTGGGTCCTTGATACTGGTTGTGGTATTCATATTTGTTCTGACTTGCAGGGACTAAGAAGAAGTGAGGATGTGGAGCATGGGAAGTTAAGCCTAATCATGGGGAATAGGAAAGCATCACATGTCACCAAGATTGGAGTTTATACTTTGTTGCTAAGTAATGGGTTAACATTAGATTTAAATAAATGTTGTTACTCGTCTGAAATGGCAAGGAATATTATTTCTTTTCATGCTTTGTACAAACAAGGGTTTACCTTTTCTTATGATAATGAATATGGTAGTATTAATGCTTTCTTTAATAATGTTCTTTATTTTAAAGCATTACCTTGTGATGGTGTGTATGAAGCTGTGTCGGTTGTAGATAACCTAGGAAATAATGTATTGTGTATTGATTCTTCCACTAACTTGGATAAAGCATCATTGTAGCATTGTTGTCTTGGACAAGTAAGAAAGAAACGCATAGGCCAACTCCAAAAGGATGGAGTCTTGGAGTCATTTGACCTAAAGTCGGATGATAGTTGTGAATCTTGTCTACTTGGGAAAATGACAAAATCACCCTTCACTGGTTCTTGTGCTAGGGGTGAAGGTTTGTTGGATCTAGTACACATTGATGTGTGTGGACCCTTCAGAACCGCCACAAGGGATGCTAACCGCTTCTATGTGACTTTTACTGATGATTTTAGTAGATATGGATATGTCTACTTAATCAAGCATAAGTCAGAAACCTTTGAAAAGTTCAAAGAGTTTAAGCAGGAAGTGGAAAATCAATTGGGCAGGAACATTAAGATGCTTCGATCCGATCGAGGTGGTGAGTATCTTAATACAGAGTTCCTTGACTATCTTAAGGAATGTGGGATTGACTCACAATTGACACCTCCCAGGACACCACAGCTTAATGGTGTGGCTGAGAGGCGTAA